TTATAATATTGTAATAAATATAAATTAATAAATAAATTTAATTAATATAAATATTAATTATATCTAATAATATTTTAAATAATGTAAAATAATTTTTCAATAAAATTATATTCTTCAATATTAAACAAATATTAATTTAAAATTAAATGGCTGATTAAATCGTTTACACTCGGCTAATTTTGTTCTTTTATTTTCTTTCTTACTTCAAATCGGTAATCTCTGTAAACAATAAAAATATTAAGAAAAGTTTTTAAATTCGTTCGATTAAAATTATTCAATTTTTTTTCTTCTTTCTTATTTCTCTCTCTCTCTCTCTCCCTCTCTCTCTTACACATTGATAAAATTCGAAGTTATCGAGGGTAGGGGGTGTCTTTTTAAAAGAATAATTTATGATCTCGAATAAAAGAAACGGACCGGATCAAAACGTAGGAAGATTTTTATCCACGATTCCTCGTCCCCTCGTTAAATATCCCTCTCCCCCCCTCCTCTCTCCTCTCTATTTTACTCATCACCTTCTACAACCCCCTACTAACCACCCCTCCCTCCCTCCCTCCTCCCCCAATCTATCCTATCGTATGAAACGACGAAGAAGACGCGCTTGCGTTTCACTTCATTAATCTTTCAGCAACACCCCCGTACGTTTACCCCACCACTACCACCACCACCACCACCCCCTTTTATAACTTTCCACCAGTACTACTAATACCACTACCACCACTACTATCTCCAGCCCCCACCCTTCCACCACAATTTCTACCACTGACACCCACCACCCCCGCATCTTTTATCCCCCCTCTCTTTTATTCTACGACATATATGTACGTCACGTTATCGGATTCTTTTCTAATGTCTAAATCACGTCATCGCTGACCGTAAAAAGCACACACACATACACATAAACGCACAAAAAGATTCATATTTATATATATATATATGTATATATGTATGTATATACATGCACGAAAAGATATTCACAACGTTTTTTAAAGGTTTATTCCCACCCACTTGAATGAAGGGTTTTTGTAATGTTTTGAGTCATAAAAAATTTAAATTTAATAAAATATATTATATATATTATGGATATATGTATATGTTGGTTGAAAAATTATGAGCTGGAATATAATGATATGTTAATATACAGTATCCAATAAAATGGAATAAATAAATAAATAAAATGAATATGAAAAAATATGAAAGTTTATTTGAATCATTTGTATGAACTTTTTGCAACAATTTCGATAATAAATAAATATAAATTAAATGCAACATATGTAAAAATTATTTGAAAATTGACAATGATAATATAAAATATTAAGTAAAAAATAAATAAATAAATAAATAAATAACTAAATACAATGAAAAAATAATGAAAGTTTATTAAAACCACTTGAATGAACCTTTTTGTAACGATTTGAGTAATACAAAAATAAATTAGATGCAATATATGTAAAAATTATTTGAATTGACAATAATTATATAAAA